AATTTATGTTATTCTTTTAACCCAAAATTGTTGGTCTATTTTGGATATACATATTTAATATTAACAAGAAAGGAAAGCTAACTTCGGGCGGACCCGAAGTTGATATACCCTTGCAGAATACTCTGTAAATTATATTCTCCAAAATTATTCATATGATGCATTCTTAATACTCATAAAAAATCCCAACTTCCTAACTTTAAAAACACCAAAGTTATGTCATTTCCAATCGTTCAGTTATATGGCAGCTATAGGATATAGTCGGCCGATCCTTATGAAATTTGGCAGGTCGGATTGATCGGCCAAAAATAAAACCCATAGAAAATCCCAACTTCCTAACTTTAAAAACATCAAAGTTATGGCATTTCCGATCGTTCAGTTATATGGCAGCTATATGATATAGTGGCCCGATCCGGCTCGTTCCGACTTATATACTACCTGCAATAGAAAGACAACTTTTGGGAAAGTTTCAAGCAGATAGCTTTAAAACTGAGGGACTAGTTTGCGTAGAAACGGACGGACCGACGGACAGACAGACGGACATGGCTAGATCGACTCTCCTGGTGATGCTGATCAAGAATATATATACTTTATAGGGTCGGAAATGTCTCCTTCACTGCGTTGCAAACTTTTGACTGAAATTATAATACCCTCTGCAAGGGTATAAAAAGATCAAATATCCTGGTGATGAAAAAACTGTTGCATACTTTATAGCGATCAATTGTACAGAATGTTAATATATGAAAGAAGAAAACTAAAATTGTTACTCTGAGGGGTATAATTTGTTTATGCTGTAGTAATAGTATTTCTTCATTTTAAATCTGTTTCTGGGACTTTAATTGACTCATATTTTACGAGAAATTAAAATTTTTGTAAAAGATATAAAATAATTAAGAATCAAACAGCCGATAGATGTTATATTGTTATGGTTATATTTAGTTTATCGATATTGTGGACTGCCGATCAGACCCGGTTCGCTCTAGGTTTTATAATCTCTCTCTCTACTGTTGCTGACATTCCCCTTTTCTCTTCTACACACTTTATCACTCACTTGCGCGTGGCCTCTCACTCTCCCCCGCACAAACACAATCTTGCAACCCGCTTGCCCACAGATTCGAATTTGTTGTTTACAAACAACCAAGGAAACGATAAGCGACGAGAAATGGAAAATTACCACAGAATGTGTATAATGGAATCAAATGGTTTTGCGTCTTAAATAACAGTTTATAACTAACGATTTTCACCGAATGCCTAGACTGTACTTTTGGTACTGTAGGGTACTGGCATTGTAAGAATAATTATTTATAGCTGCACTAGTGACAATATCGGCTTGAATTTCTCCTTTGAATGACCTTCTCACAACTAGCACATTGCATATGGCACATCACAGGTTTATATCTGTTGCTACAAATCAATTATTAATTTGCGTTCCTTTTCTGCGGACTGTCTTCGTGCTTCTGAGCTAGCACTCTACCCATCCGATTTCCCAAACCCACTTGATCCATCTATGTGAGCCACTGAGAGGAATTCTGCACTGGTGTGCGAATTCCCGATGGACCCACGCACACAAACTCACGAATTCCCTCGCTCTTCTCTCTTAGTTGGAGGCTCGTTTTGTGTACATGAACAGGAGAGTTTCCCGATCTATGGTAGTGTGCTGGTTTTACTGGCATTCACAAATACCACCGCAGTGTTCGCCGCTCTCTTGCGCTCACTGTTCAGCTATCGGTGTGCTTATACTTTTGCTTGTGTTGCTGATTCCACACTGAAAACTAACACCAGTGAATAAATAAATGTTCTCTGGTTCTCTGTTTATGTTTGGCGGGTTGAACAGGAGAAGTATCAGCTGGAAAGTGATCAGCTCTTAAAGCACTTGTTTGGAGGACAACTCCTGAACGGATTGCCATTTCTAGACCAATTTTAACAGATTTAAAGCTAAACCAATAAACAGAACTGTACTTTTCTATGAGATACTTCTAGAAGCATTTCATCACAAAGTCCATAGTGGGGCGAGGCCTTAATCGGGTTTTATATAGGCACTCAACGAGTCTCAAACAAATATAGAGACCTTGCACGAGGTCTCCTCTTTGCCCCTTCTTACCCCCTTTCGCCAAACATCTGCTGCTTAGCATTCCGCTACACTACCTACAATATATAAGCATGCTCGATAAGGCAGCGCTCTTTCTCCGTCTCTATCGCTCTCACAGGTCGAATCGATCCAGCTGGGTATAAAAGCCAGCCAGCTCTCGCAGTCAGTATTCAGTAAGCAACAAGTTAGCAAGCTAGAAACAGCTACCAGCTAAGCAGCCAAACAGTTTTATCAACGTGTTAAATAAACCTACAAAATATCAAGATGCGTTTGGGACAGACCGTACCTAACTTCCAGGCCGACACCACCAAGGGGCCCATCAGCTTCCACGAGTGGCAGGGCAACTCGTAAGTGCCATCCAGACCACTTTCTCCGGTCGATGCTCATCCAATCCTCCCCTATTCCACAGGTGGGTTGTACTCTTCTCCCACCCCGCCGACTTCACCCCCGTGTGCACCACCGAACTAGGCCGCATTGCGGTGCACCAGCCGGAGTTCGCCAAGCGGAACACCAAGTGCCTGGCGCACTCCGTGGACGCCCTCAACTCGCACGTGGACTGGGTGAACGACATCAAGAGCTACTGCCTGGACATTCCCGGCGACTTCCCCTACCCGATCATCGCTGACCCCACTCGGGACCTGGCCGTCAGCCTGGGCATGCTCGACGAGGAGCAGAAGAAGGACCCCGAGGTGGGCAAGACCATCCGGGCGCTGTTCATCATCAGTCCGGACCACAAGGTGCGCCTCTCCATGTTCTACCCCATGTCCACGGGCCGCAACGTTGAGTGAGTACCTCTTTACGGTTATGGGTAATGATGAACTTAACTGACTAACTGACGGCTATGCAACCTTTAGTGAGATCCTGAGGACCATCGACTCTCTGCAGCTGACTGATCGCCTCAAGGTTGTGGCCACTCCAGCCAACTGGACAGTGAGTATTTCTGCTTATTAAATCAAGGTAGCTCCTTACTAATTGTGATTTTTCCGTAGCCTGGCACCAAGGTCATGATTCTGCCCACTGTCACCGATGAGGAGGCCCACAAACTCTTCCCCAAGGGATTCGACAAGGTCTCCATGCCCTCTGGAGTGAACTACGTGCGCACCACTGAGAACTATTAGAGACCTGAAACTATTTCCTTTTTTAACTTCCTTCCCGTTTTTCCCTTGTGCCATATTTTAGTAGATAATAAAAAAATGTTAAACAAATTAAATAAGTTTTCTGTTGGATTGAATTATAACCTTTAAGACACAGTAAAAATCTTTTCTCCAGCGCGCGGAATTTCAAACATTCAAATTAAATTAAACCAGTAAAGCTTGAGTTGTAGAATTTGGAAAAGTTATAAAGACAAGGTCATAAGATTCAGAACTTTAAAACCTCTTGGTTGTCAAAGTGTTCACCGTTACAATTTAATGGGGCACAATCACTGTTAGTTATGTAAAAAACATTTATTAAACAAGAAGCAATGCGAAGCTTATTTACCTTTTCAGCTAAAAACAAATGAAATGATTTATTAAACGAATATTAACGATTTGTATTACAATTTTTGGGCGCTCCTACGGCAGCCTAATGATATAGTCCTTTGATGTTGATAAAAAAAATTAATTTTGGAAATCGTAAAAATCTTCAATTATCTACAGATTTTCCTATTAATTTTCGGATTTTTTATGTCGGTATGTAAACATTGAATATCTTTGAGAAAAACCAACTGATTTCTATGAGTAATGTAGTTTTAATCAGTTTGGTTCCTTTCAATTGTTCTGGAATAGTTTTTGAAAACATCATCATTTAAGTGCCCACCCTTGCTAGCAATTAAAAAAATAAAGTATTGTCAGATAGTGACTTTTAAACTCGATATTTTTTTCGATATGTACGTTGAGTTAATACAACGGAACGACTGTTTTCGATGTAAAGTGCCACTATTTGAGCGTGTTGTTTCGGTGTAAAGCGATCCATGGCAAAAATTGTCCTGAATTGACGTTTTCAAAACATATATGATGCAATAAATCGGTTGGTAAATGTGAAAGTTATTCAGAGTTTACATACCGCCACAAAAGATGGAGCAACCTTGTAGTCGTCCGATTTTTAAAAAATTCAAATCGAATTTTTGGAAATATAACTAATTTATATTTAGGAGAGTTCATGTTTTGAAACCACGAAGTTACGATTTTTTTTCTTTTGTTTTAATTCTTCCTATGGCAGTTATAGAATTTTCGTATATTTCAAGTAATTTTCTATATCTATATATTCCGGAGGTGTAGAAAAATGTTGATTCAATTATTTTACAAAGTAACAGTCTAGTATTTTCGTTCAATAATAGTAAGATAATTGAAAAAGTTGAAACAAAACGTTAATATTTAAGTATTTTAATTAGCGGGAAATAAAAACTCAACAATAGGACCAAATTGTAAGTGGAAACTGTAGTTTATATTGTCATACTTTTACCTCATATAAGAAACCAACTTTCTTAATTACCTTATCTGAAATTACAAATATAACATCGTTGAAAAATGCATTGAGGTAGGTTCTTTGGTAAAAAAATCTTTATTGTGACACATACATACATAAATAAGGAGAATGAAATGAAATGCGATGATAGAATCAGCTGGTTAATACTGCTCGGCGGTGCGCCTGTAGTTTACTCCAATTTGCAGACTTTTCTAAACTGTAGGCCTTTTACGCTTTTCATCTGAGACGGCAACATCATAATATTTGGGGCTAGGCAATTGGAAAAACATACTTATTTCGGATTCTAACAGAGTTTATTTATACTTACAGACCACTTGGAGGCCACTACCTGAAGGTCAGTTGTTTGGATGCACCTTTTTGTTCGGGCTGTATTCCCGTATTTAATCGACTGGTTTTGAATTGTTCTTTGGCTCTTCGTGGAGCAGATACTCCTTGGCCATGGTGTAGGCCAATCCGGCGGTCAAACATCCGACTACGGTTCCCTGGGCGGCCACACGGAGCTGCATTAGGAAGACGCTGGTGCTCATCGTTCCGCGGTTCCGATATTTGTAGGCCCCAACTAGACCGGCGGCCACGAACCCGGCGATGCCCACGAGCATAAAGGGAGATTCCTTGACCTTTCTGGACAACTTGTTGGCCTGGGCGACATCTTCGTCGGTTTCAAAGAGGGAATTGGAACTCATTTTGAACGCAGGTGAATCAATTTTTACTTGGATTATGTTTTGCTGTTGTTAGTTCGCTCACTTGTTGCTAACTGAATACCGAATGGAAGCGATCGCTGGCTTTTATACCCAGCTGGTTGTAGGCGATCAGTAAGAGCGATAGAGACAGCCACCGGCCGCTAATCGCTCTTTGTATACTCAAACGTACATATGTATGTATTTATGTACATATGTAGCCGTTCGTGCAAGGCGTCGATATTTGTAATGCCCCCACTCTATGTATTAAGATGGCCTCGTGAAAATCTGGACTTTGTGATGAAATTCTAATAATCCTCTTAATAATAACAGTTTTTCTTTATTTGTTTGTTTTATTTTTTATTTAGAAAAGGAAAATTCTAAAAAGCCATGTTTAGCTGTTCTTTTCAGGAGTTGTCCCCCAAATCAGCTGATCCAACAGCTGATTGCACTCTGGAGAGCACTAATAATACATTAGTGTTGGTGATCAATGTGAAATCACCAACACAAGCAAAAGTGTAAGCACACTGATATGTGTACAGTGAGCGCGAGAGAGCGGCGTACAGTGTGGTGGTATTTGTGAACGCTTTCCAAATACACACACTACCATAGATTGCCGGACTCTCCCGTTCACGTACAGAAAACGAGCCTCCAATTGGGAGACAAGAGAGAGTAAATTCGTTAGGCTGTGTGAGTGGGTCTATCGGGAAATCGCACACCAGTGCAGATTTATTCTCAATGTATCACACAAATGGATTGAGTGGGCTTGGGAAATCGGATGGGTAAAGTGTTTGCTCAGAAGACAGCAAACAGTTCAATGGAATGGAATCCAACTTGAAATCAGATCACAATAATGGAATATCACATCATAATTATGGATATGAATACGCAATGTGCACTGTGCCATCTCTGAAAAGGTTATTTGAAAGAGAATTATTGACAAACAAGTGTTTACTATACAGTCTATGAATTCGGTGAAAAATCTTCGAGCTCATCACAAAATGAGATTCAATGAAACAAAATATCACTTTATTATACACATTTTGTGGAAATTTTCCATTGTTTTCTAGGTTGTTTGTGAAAAACAAAGTGGAATTCATGGTCGAGGGGGAAGGAAGATTGAGTTGGTGCAAGTGAGAACGAGAGGGAGAGAAGCCATGTGCCAGTAAATAGGTAGTGAAACAGAGAGAGGGGAAGTGAAAAGATTGGGAAATAAGAGCGAACCGGGTAAGATCAGTGATACGGCAACCAGAACTCAATGCAATCGACTATTCAAAAGCCCGCGCACTGTTATCGATATCGGTGGAGCATGTGGGCTATATAATGCGCTGCCGCCGCTGCATTTCCATTTAACGTTCAACCTCACACATAGCATTTTAAAGCTTCTTCTATTATGGGAATGTTTACAAGCCAGATCTGTGGTCTTATCGATTCCTACGGCGGTCGAGATGTCCTGATGGAGGCGCTGTGCCAAAGTGCCAAGTTGGTGGCAGGATACCAAGCCAAGCGGAACCCAGACCTGGCCCAAAGGTGCGCCACCGTTAGCTCGAAAATCTCGGCAGCCAGGTCCACTCTGCGGCTGATCGACGACCTGCCCGTTATCCAGTACACCCTGGAGTACGGCTTGGGCGACGATGAGCCGGATCGTATAACGGCCGTACTGGGAGTGATGTCCAACGCGGTGGACGTGCTCTTCTATCCCATCGAAACTATCTGCTGGCTGGCCGAGCATAAGGTTCTGGATGTGAGAAACAAGGCTGTCTGGAGCTATGTCAGCTCCATATTCAGTGTGCTCTCTGCGTATCTGAGCCTTGTAAGGACATTGCGGACTTTTTCCCAAAATCAGGACAAGCTGAACCGCCAGGATGCGGTGTCCCTCGCTCGCATCTCTCTCGATCTTGTCCACGCCGTCAGCATTCTGCCTAGGGGTTACCTGTGGAGCGGCAAGCTGTCAACCCTCCAGTTGGGAGCCATTGGAACACTCTCAGCGGGACTGGGAATCTACCAGATCTTGGCCAGCAGAAAACTGAACCACTAGATGTGCCCACTAATGTACTCGGAATCGTAAAGTAGAATAAAGAAGAATTTAAAAACAGTCGACTACGTACTTTTTGGTACGCTAATTTGGCTGGAGTATTTTTATACCGCCCTTATAAGAAATTGTTTAGTTATTAATTGTTAGTAAATATAAAAATTGAAAAATTAGAGTCGTTTAATTTATGTTATTCTTTTAACCCAAAACTATTGTTCAATTTTGGATATACATATTTAATATTAACAAGAAAGAAAAGCTAACTTCGGGCGGAGCCGAAGTTGAAATACCCTTGCAGAATATTCTTCAAATTATATTCTCCAAAATTATTCATATGATGCATTCTTAATACTCAAAAAAAGTCCCCAACTTCCTAACTTTAAAAACACCAAAGTTATGGCATTTCCGATCAATCAGTTATATGGCGGCTATAGGATATAGTCGTCTGATGCTTATGAAATTCGGTAGGTCGGATTTATTGGCCAAAAATAAAACCCATAGAAAATCCCAACTTCCTAACTTTACAAACACAAAAGTTATGGCTTTTCCGATCGTTCAGTTATATGGCAGCTATATGATATAGTCGCCCGATCCGGCTCGTTCCGACTTATATACTGCCGACTCATATACTGAAAGACAACTTTTGGGAAAGTTTCAAGCAGATAGCTTTAAAACTGAGGGACTAGTTTGCGTAGAAACGGACGGACGGACGGACAGACGGACGGACAGACGGACATGGCTAGATCGACTCTCCTGGTGATGCTGATCAAGAATATATGTACTTTATAGGGTCGGAAATGTCTCCTTCACTGCGTTGCAAACTTTTGACTGAAATTATAATACCCTCTGCAAGGGTATAAAAAGATCAAATATCCTGGTGATGAAAAAACTGTTGCATACTTTATAGCGATCAATTGTACAGAATGTTAATATATGAAATTTTAAGGCTACTATGTATGCATAAAATTTCTTTCTCGTTAATTACGCTAGGTTAAGTTCAGAAGGCACTGAACAGATTCCAGTGAATAAAATATTATTTAAAATTAAAAAAAAAAAAAAAAAAATATATGAAAGAAGAAAACTAAAATTGTTACTCTGAGGGGTATAATTTGTTTATGCTGTAGTAATAGTATTTCTTCATTTTAAATCTGTTTCTGGGACTTTGATTGACTCTAATTTTACGAGAAATTAAAATTTTTGTAAAAGATATAAAATAATTAAGAATCAAACAGCCGATAGATGTTATATTGTTATGGTTATATTTAGTTTATCGATATTGTGGACTGCCGATCAGACCCGGTTCGCTCTAGGTTTTATAATCTCTCTCTCTATCTGTTGCTGACATTCCCCTTTTCTCTTCTACACACTTTATCACTCACTTGCGCGTGGCCTCTCACTTTCCCCCGCACAAACACAATCTTGCAACCCGCTTGCCCACAGATTCGAATTTGTTGTTTACAAACAACCAAGGAAACGATAAGCGACGAGAAATGGAATATTACCACAGAATGTGTATAATGGAATCAAGTGGTTTTGCGTCTTAAATAACAGTTTCTAACTAACGATTTTCACCGAATGCCTAGACTGTACTTTTGGTACTGTAGGGTAACTGGCATTGTAAGAATTATTATTATTATTTGTTTATAGCTGCACTAGTGACAATATCGGCTTGAATTCTCCTTTGAATGACCTTCTCACAACTAGCACATTGCAAATTGCATATTGCACATCACAGGTTTATATCTGTTGCTACAAATCAATTATTAATTTGGGTTCCTTTTCTGCGGACTGTCTTCGTGCTTCTGAGCTAGCACTCTACCCATCTGATTTCCCAAACCCACTTGATCCATCTATGTGAGCCACTGAGAGGAATTCTGCACTGGTGTGCTAATTCCCGACGGGTCCACGCACACAAACTCACGAATTTCCTCGCTCTTCTCTCTCAGTTGGAGGCTCGTTTTGTGTACATGAACAGGAGAGCTTCCCGATCTATGGTAGTGTGCTAGTTTTACAGGCATTCACAAATACCACCGCAGTGTTCGCCGCTCTCTTGCTCTCCCCGGCCAGCTATCGGTGTGCTTATACTTTAGCTTGTGTTGCTGTTTCCACACCGATCACTAACACCAGTGAATAAATAAATGCTATCTGGTTCTCTGTTTATGTTTGGAGTTGAACAGGAGAAGTATCAGTTGAGAACTGATCGGCTTCTTTGGAGGATAAACCCGGTAGGGATTCACATTTCTAGGCCAATTTAAACAGATTTAAAGCGAAGCCAAAAAGCAGAACTGTACTTTTCTATGAAGAAGAATTTCATAGAAATACTTCTAGAAGAATTTCGTCACAAAGTCCATAGTGGGCCGAGGCCTTAATCAGGTTTTGTATAGGCACGCAAACAGTCCCAAACAAATGTGGAGACCTTGACGAGGTCTCCTCCTCCCCCCTTCCAAACCCCTTTCTCCAATCAACATAAACTACTGCTCAGAATTTGTATTAGTCTATACTGCGTACTAGTATACTATATATGAACACGCGCGATAAGGCAGCGCCCGTTCACCGTCTCTATCGCTCCTACAGATCGAATCGATCCAGCTGGGTATAAAAGCCAGCCAGCTCTGGGAGTCAGTATTCAGTAAGCAACCAGTTAGCAAGCTAGAAACAGCTACCAGCTAAGCAGTCAAACAGTTTTATCAACGTGTTAAATAAACCTACAAAATATCAAGATGCGTTTGGGACAGACCGTACCTAACTTCCAGGCCGACACCACCAAGGGGCCCATCAGCTTCCACGAGTGGCAGGGCAACTCGTAAGTGCCATCCAGACCACTTTCTCCGGTCGATGCTCATCCAATCCTCCCCTATTCCACAGGTGGGTTGTGCTCTTCTCCCACCCCGCCGACTTCACCCCCGTGTGCACCACCGAACTAGGCCGAATTGCGGTGCACCAGCCGGAGTTCGCCAAGCGGAACACCAAGTGCCTGGCGCACTCCGTGGACGCCCTCAACTCGCACGTGGACTGGGTGAACGACATCAAGAGCTACTGCCTAGACATTCCCGGCGACTTCCCCTACCCGATCATCGCTGACCCCACTCGGGACCTGGCCGTCAGCCTGGGCATGCTCGACGAGGAGCAGAAGAAGGACCCCGAGGTGGGCAAGACCATCCGGGCGCTGTTCATCATCAGTCCGGACCACAAGGTGCGCCTCTCCATGTTCTACCCCATGTCCACGGGCCGCAACGTTGAGTGAGTACCTCTTTACGGTTATGGGTAATGATGATCTTAACTGACTAACTGACGATCCTGCAATCTTTCAGTGAGATCCTGAGGACGATCGACTCCCTGCAGCTGACTGATCGCCTCAAGGTTGTGGCCACTCCAGCCAACTGGACAGTGAGTATCTGCTTATTAAATCAAGGTAGCTCCTTACTAATTGTGATTTTTCTGTAGCCTGGCACCAAGGTCATGATCCTACCCACTGTCACCGATGAGGAGGCCCAAAAACTTTTTCCCAAGGGATTCGATAAGGTATCCATGCCATCTGGAGTGAACTACGTGCGCACTACTGAGAACTATTAGACACCTTATTTTAATTTGTAATTTTTTTTTTCTTCCGATGTGCCATGTAGTTAATTACTATTTAATAAAGATTACTTTTACAAAACAACAACCTCAATACATTCCTTAATTAGCTTACATTAATATCTACGTCAAATCAGTTTGGTAACGCGTTTTCGAGCTTGTGCCACGGTCCTATTCAGTATTCATATTTCATTGCTATAAAATATTCGTCTGTATAAAATCACAAGAAAGAAATTTAGAGTTGTACCAAAACAAACAATAATCTTTTGATTACTCCAGCTAAATAATTTATTAAACCATACCTGCTATTAACAAAACTAAACAAGAAAGGTAAATTTTGGCTTGCAGAGGGTATTATAATTTTGGTCAGAAGTTTGTAACAAGGTTATAACAAATGTAGTTACAACTTTTTATGTCTTCAATATTTTTCTAAATGATTAAAATTATTTCCGTGAGGTAATGACTTTTTTCCATCCGTTTTTCTTACTATATTTAGTTCAGAAATATAACTGTAATGCAATTTAATTCAATTTTATAGTTTAATTAACAATATAATTTTATATCAAATAGATTTAAGAAGCCTCCACAATAAGGCATTTATGCAAACTTGCCATCTGTACAGACTTATTTTCCTTCACTTCCTTAAATGAATAACAATTCAAAAACAAAAAAACCAGGAAATAAAAAAACGCTTAATTTCCGCCTCCCCTTTAAAAAATGCATCTCTGATTAACAGGGAACCAGTTATAATTATGATTTAGAAAAACCAAATAATTAATTAATATTCATTATTTAACTAATTAATTAACTATATATAGCTACAATAACCTTCGTTAAGCATAAAATGCAATCAGGCTTTAGTAAAAATTATCTTTATTGTATAATAAAATGTTGTACTTTATGGAACGATTGTAATGAGAGTGCGGAGAAAACAAGTTAATTAAATAAATAATATCAGCCATCTAATAGTTCTCAGTGGTCCGCACGTAGTTCACTCCAGAGGGCATGGAGACCTTGTCGAATCCCTTGGGGAAGAGTTTGTGGGCCTCCTCATCGGTGACAGTGGGCAGAATCATGACCTTGGTGCCGGGCTACAGAAAAATCACAATTAGTAAGGAGCTACCTTGATTTAATAAGCAGATACTCACTGTCCAGTTGGCTGGAGTGGCCACAACCTTGAGGCGATCAGTCAGCTGCAGGGAGTCGATGGTCCTCAGGATCTCACTAAAGGTTGCATAGCCGTCAGTTAGTCAGTTAAGTTCATCATTACCCATAACCGTAAAGAGGTACTCACTCAACGTTGCGGCCCGTGGACATGGGGTAGAACATGGAGAGGCGCACCTTGTGGTCCGGACTGATGATGAACAGCGCCCGGATGGTCTTGCCCACCTCGGGGTCCTTCTTCTGCTCCTCGTCGAGCATGCCCAGGCTGACGGCCAGGTCCCGAGTGGGGTCAGCGATGATCGGGTAGGGGAAGTCGCCGGGAATGTCCAGGCAGTAGCTCTTGATGTCGTTCACCCAGTCCACGTGCGAGTTGAGGGCGTCCACGGAGTGCGCCAGGCACTTGGTGTTCCGCTTGGCGAACTCCGGCTGGTGCACCGCAATGCGGCCTAGTTCGGTGGTGCACACGGGGGTGAAGTCGGCGGGGTGGGAGAAGAGCACAACCCACCTGTGGAATAGGGGAGGATTGGATGAGCATCGACCGGAGAAAGTGGTCTGGATGGCACTTACGAGTTGCCCTGCCACTCGTGGAAGCTGATGGGCCCCTTGGTGGTGTCGGCCTGGAAGTTAGGTACGGTCTGTCCCAAACGCATCTTGATATTTTGTAGGTTTATTTAACACTTTGATAAAACTGTTTGTCTGCTTAGCTGGTAGCTGTTTCTAGCTTGCTAACTTGTTGCTTACTGAATACTGACTGCGAGAGCTGGCTGGCTTTTATAACCAGCTGGATCGATTCGACCTGTGAGAGCGATAGAGACGGAGAAAGAGCGCTGCTTTATCGAGCATGCTTATACATACATATATTGTATGTACATAGGTAGTGTAGTGGAATGCTAAACAGCAGATGTATGGCGAAAGGGGGTAAGAAGTGCAAAGAGGAGACCTCGTGCAAGGTCTCTATATTTGTTTGAGACTCGTTGAGTGCCTATATAAAACCCGATTAAGGCCTCGCCTTAAGTGCTTCTAGAAGTACCTCATAGAAAAGTACAGTTCTGTTTATTGGTTTAGCTTTAATTCTTTTAAAATTGGCTTAGAAATGGGAATCCGATCAGGTGTTGTCCTCCAAACAAATGCTTTAACAGCTGATCACTTTGTAGCTGATACTTCTCCGGTTCAACCGTCGCCAAACATAAACAGAGAACCAGAGAACATTTAATCATTCACTGGTGTTAGTGATCAGTGTGGAAACACCAACACAAGGTAAAGTATAAGCACACTGATAGCTGGACGGGGAGAGCAAGAGAGCGGCGAACTGCGGTGGTATTTGTGAATGCCAGTAAAACCAGCACACTACCATTGCTCGGGAAACTCTCCTGTTCATGTACACAAAACGAGCCTCCAACTAAGAGAGAAGAGCGAGTGAATTCTTGAGATTGTGTGGGTGGGTCTATCGGAAATTCGCACACCGGTGCAGATTCCTCTCAGTGGCTCACATAGATGGATCAAGTGGGTACGGGAAGTCGGATGGCTAGAGTGCTAGCTCAAAAGCACGAAGACATTTCACAGGAATGGAAGCCATCGTGGAATAAGGATCAGCCTAATGGAATATCTGATCATAATATTGGATAAGAAGTGGTGGTGTTGATAGTAAAGGTTATTTAAAGCCTAAACCGTCGCTAATGCTTTCAATTACATTTAATATGCAGTTGTACAATGTTTTTCAAGTGCTTAGATTCAATAGAAAAATCTTAGTTAGATTCAAAGTTACTCCCAAGACGCAACAAATTTCGTTATATTATTTTTTTGTGGTAATTTTCCATTTCTTATTATCAGTGTTGTTTATTTTTTAAACAAATGGATTTTGTAGTCAAGAGGATCGCTGATGGAATCTGTGCGGGGAAGAGTGGGAGGCAGAGGCCATGTGCAGGTAGTCTTGGAGAGTGAGAAAGAGAAAAGGATGTATCAGGAGAAAACAAAGAGCGAAGGGTGTAAGCACACTGATGTGTGTACAGTGAGCGCGAGAGAGCGGCGTACAGTGTGGTGGTATTTGTGAAAGCTACCAAAATACAAACACTACCATAGATTGCCGGACGTACAGAAAACGAGCCGCCAATTGGGAGAGAAGAGATTCGTTAGGCTGTGTGAGTGGGTCTATCGGGAAATAGCACACCAGTGCAGATTTATTCTCAATGTATCACACAAATGGATTGAGTGGGCTTGGGAAATCGGATGGGTAAAGTGTTTGTTCAGAAGGCAGAAAACAGTTCAATGGAATGGAATCCAACTTGAAATCAGATCACAATAATGGAATATCACATCATAATTATGGATATGAATACGCAATGTGCACTGTGCCATCTCTGAAAAGGTTATTTTAAAGAGAATTATTGACAAACAAGTGTTTACTATACAGTCCATGAATTCGGTGAAAAATCTTCGAGCTTATTACAAAATGAGATTCAATGAAACAAAATATCACTGTTATACACATTTTGTGGTAATTTTCCATTGTTTTCTAGGTTGTTTGTGAAAAACGAAGTGGAATTCATGGTCGAACGGGAAAGAAGATTGAGTTGGTGCAAGTGAGAACGAGAGGGAGAGAAGCCATGTGCCAGTAAATAGGTAGTGAAACAGAGAGAGGGGAAGTGAAAAGATTGGGAAATAAGAGCGAACCGGGTAAGATCCGCGATACCGCAACCAGAACTCAATGCAATCGACTATTTAAAAGTCCGCGCACTGCTATCGATATCGGTGGAGCATGTGGGCTATATAATGCGCTGCCGCCGCTGCATTTCCATTTAATGTTCAACCTCACACATAGCATTTTAAAGCTTCTTAAGCTATTATGGGAAAGTTTACAAGCCAGATCTGTGGCCTCATCGATTCCTACGGCGGTCGAGATGTCCTGATGGAGGCGCTGTGCCAAAGTGCCAAGTTGGTGGCAGGATACCAAGCCAAGCGGAACCCAGACCTGGCCCAAAGGTGCGCCACCGTTAGCTCGAAAATCTCGGCAGCCAGGTCCACTCTGCGGCTGATCGACGACCTGCCCGTTATCCAGTACACCCTGGAGTACGGCTTGGGCGACGATGAGCCGGATCGTATAACGGCCGTACTGGGAGTGATGTCCAACGCGGTGGACGTGCTCTTCTATCCCATCGAAACTATCTGCTGGCTGGCCGAGCATAAGGTTCTGGATGTGAGAAACAAGGCTGTCTGGAGCTATGTCCGCTCAATATTCAGTGTGCTCTCTGCGTATCTGAGCCTTGTAAGGACATTGCGGACTTTTTCCCAAAATCAGGACAAGCTGAACCGCCAGGATGCGGTGTCCCTCGCTCGCATCTCCCTCGATCTTATCCACGCCGTCAGCATTCTGCCTAGGGGTTACCTGTGGGGCGGCAAGCTGTCAACCCTCCAGTTGGGAGCCATTGGAACACTCTCAGCGGGACTGGGAATCTACCAGATCTTGGCCAGCAGAAAACTGAACCACTAGATGTGCCCACCAATGTGCTCGGAATCGTAAAGTAGAATAAAGTAGAATTTAAAAACAGTGGTCTACGTACTTTTTGGTACGCTAATTTGTCTGGAGTATTTTTATACCGCCCTTATTAAAATTGTTTAGTTATCAATTGTTAGTAAATAAAAAAATTGAAAAATTAGAGTCGTTTAATTTATGTTATTCTTTTAACCCAAAACTATTGTTCTATTTTGGATATACATATTTAATATTAAAAATATCAAATATCATGTTGATGAGAAAACTGTTGCATACTTTATAGCGATCAGTTGTACAGAATCCCTAAAGATTATAAAATGAAAGACCGATTTTTAAGGGGATACGGCCACAGCCCAAACCGTAAGAGCAAGAGCAGCCAAATTTTTTCACAGTATTCCATTGGGGGCGTAGGCGCCCACTAAGATCCGATATGTCCCCCCAGTGGCCCCAAACAGCTCCAACATCCATTATTCTGAGCAAAAAAAAGTTGATGTATTTAAGCTTAACTTCTAAACTGGTTGGAATTTCGATATTTGGTTTTTTCCGAATTTTAGGTTTTGAAAAGGCCTAATTAGAAATCTAAAAGAAATTTTGATATCCCCCATAATTTGGGGGCTACATTTAAAATTAACTTTTCGATTTAAAAAATCTAAACCGCTGCTCCGATCAAGATGATTTTTCGCTCAATAGTTATTCTATGGCCCAAATGCTTAAGTTTAATTTTTCAAGTTTTTAACATTTTTTTAAGTATTTTTAACGAATTTATTTAGATTTTCTAAGTCATTGCGTTGTATTTTGCGGGAGCCTGTCGAGAGAACGAAACCCAGAAGCCAAGAGAGCGACGGCCGAGAGAGCAACAGCCAAGAAAACTGATGAGGGGGAGGGGTAGTGCTGTAGGGAAAGGGGATGGGAAAGAGGCAATTTAAGTTAAATTTGTTTTGGATTTTAAAAACTTAAACTGCTGCTCCGATCAATAGGATTTTCGATCAATAGTCAGTCCTGTGGATCAAATGCATAGGTTTTATTTTTCATTTTGTAGCAGAAGTAAGAGCCTTATTTAATTTCCACCATGGAAGAAAATAGAAAATTACTACAAATTCTGTAAGCAAAGCCAAAATGTTTGCAAGTTAAATATTAATCTTAAGATTCGAACTTTTGACCAAATACGTATGTACATATGTATATTTGGATATGTTTTGATTTGCTTATATGTACAATACATGTACATACATACAATGTGTGTGTATGTTTCTATTCGAAAGTAGATAATGTGCTTAAATACAAATAAAATGATTTATTATACCCGTTTATCGATCAAATGTGGAATCTGAAAATAATACGTTACTTTGCTGTTTTTGTATTGGATGCCAATCTTTTACTGTGTGTACAAAGGTTTTCGTTTCATTCAAAACAAGAAATTTGAAAACAACAAATTCCAATTTACAAACAAGTATACATATTTGTGCGCAAATAAAAATTGCATTGATAACATTGTAACTGATAAAAAGTATACTAGCTCACGACTTTTACTTGGATCACTTTCATTTATTATATAGCTCTGCCAGTATCCTTCTGATTCTCTCTCTTGAAGGATCTTCTACAAAGGTTGTTAACACAAAGGTTTTCAAAAAAAGGGGCAAATAAGAAATAAGAAAGTCCTGACAACCCTAACTCCAAACTAATATTAAGTCGTATACAATACAAAAAGCGTTGGGGCTGAGATGGGTGAAATATTTTTTTTGGATGCACCTGGAGGGACAGGTAAAACCTTCTTGACAAATTTATTGTTGGCAAAAGTTCGAAGTTAAAAAAAAATAGCCCTAGCTGTAGCATCTTCCGGTATAGCTGCTACACTGCTCAATGGAGGTCGAACTGCTCATTCTACATTTAAACTTCCTTTGGATTTAGTTAATTTAGAAACACCTCATTGCTCTATTTCAAAGCAATGTAATATGGCTGCGGTGTTTAAAGATTGTAAGTTAATTGTTTGGGATGAGTGCACAATGTCACATAAAGGTGGGCTTGAAGCCATAAATAGAACCCTGCAAGATATTAATGAGTACTATGTTGATGGGTGGTATTACAGTCCTGCTAGCTGTTGTGCCAAGAGGTACAAGAGCTGACGAAATAAAGGCCTGTTTAAAATCTTCATTTTTATGGCCACAGATAAACAAACTAGCGCTCACGAAAAATATGCGAGTGCACTTAAAAGGAGACAGTTCTGCAGGAATTTTTGCCGAAACTCTTTTAAAAATTGGGAATGGCGTCCATCCAACAGCTGATGGAAAAATAGTTATAACATCACGCTTAGGAAATGTAGTCAAAAACGTTCAAGACCTTACATCCAAAATATTTCCAACATATCATGTAAAAGCTTAGATTGGCTATCTGAGCGCGCCATTTTGATAACGAAAAATGAAAGAGCAACCACTATTAATAATTTATTGCAAAACTCATTTGATGGTTTAGAAGTCTCCTATAAATCGGTCGACTCTGTTCCTGATGCCGATAATGCTGTTCATTACCCTGTTGAATTTTTAAATTCCTTGAATCCTCCAGGAATTCCTCAGCATAATCTGTCTCTTAGGATTGGAGCACCCGTAATGTTATTGCGAAATTTAAGTCCCCCAAAGTTATGCAATGGGACACGATTGCAGATAAAAGGTCTTCATAAGAATGTAATCGAAGCAACAGTATTTACGGGGTGCGCGAAGGGGGAAACAGTGTTTATACCCAGGATCCCATTAATACCATCCAGTCTGCCGTTTCAGTTTAAAAGGCTACAATTCCCTCTAAAAGTTTGCTTTGCAATAACTATAAATAAATCGCAGGGGCAGAGTTTGAAGCTGGCTGGACTAGATCTTAGAGAAGATTGCTTCTCTCACGGACAATTTTATGTCGCATGCTCTAGAGTTAGCTCTGCCAGTAGCCTTATTATTCTCTCTCCTGAAGGATCTTCTAAAAATTTTGTTTACACAGAGGTTTTAAAGTAATCATATTAATTAACATTATTAAACCTAGAAAGTTTCAGTGGAATAGGTTTAATTGAAGATACCACATTAAAAAAACCAGCCAATTTCTCTACCTCAGGGGTGGTGTGGAATTGGGAAAGTCTTGACAACCGTACTCAAAACTAATTTTAAGCGAACGAAGTCGCGCCGGGTACAGCTAGTATTAATATATGATAGAAGAAAACTAAAATTATTACTCTGAGGGGTATAATTTGTTTATGCTGTAGTAATAGTATTTCTTCATTTTTAATCTGTTTCTGGGACTTTAATTGACTCAAATTTTACGAGAAATTAAAATTTTTGTAAAAGATATGATAAAACAAGAGAGAACGCTATAGTCGGGTGCCCCGACTATCAGATACCCGTTACTCAGGTAAAGGGAGTGCGAGGGAGATGGAGATAGAAACTTTGATCACGCATAACTTTTTAACGAAAGGTCCGATTTGAAAAATTTTTTCTACATTTCGATAGGTATTGATAAAGACAATAAAACTGCATTTTTACTTTTCCGTAATATTTAAATTTTTAAAATCGTATATAAGCGATTGTGGGCGACAGAGGGGGCGTGGCACCATTTTGAAACAAACTTGCACTGCGTAGGAACTCCTAGAATCTGCATGCAAAATGCCAATCTTCTAGCTTTTATAGTTTCCGAGATCTCAGCGTTCATACGGACAGACAGACGGACAGACAGACGGACAGACGGACATGGCTATATCGACTCGGCTAGTGACCCTGATCAAGAATATATATACTTTATAGGGTCGGAAACGCTTCCTTCTAGCTGTTACATACTTTTGCACGAATACAATATACCCTTTTACTCTACGAGTAACGGGTATAAAAATTAAACAACCGATAGATGGCTTTCAAATGTTCAATTATGGTTATATTCAGTTTATCGATATTGTGGACTGCCGATCAGACCCGGTTCGCTCTAGTTTTTATAATCTCTCTCTCTCTTTATCTGTTGCTCTCATTCCCCTTTTCTCTTCGACACACTTTATCACTCACTTGCGCGTGGCCTCTCACTTTACCCCGCACAAACACAAACTTGCAACCCGCTTGCCCACAGATTCGAATTTGTTGTTTACAAACAACCAAGGAAACGATAAGCGTCGAGAAGTGGAAAATTACCACAGAATGTGTATAATGGAATCAAATGGTTTTGCGTCTTAAATTTCAGCTTGTAACTAACGATTTTCACCGAATGCCTAGACTGTACTTTTGGTACTGTAGGGTAACTGGCATTGTGAGAATTATTATAATTATTTGTTTATAGCTGCACTAGTGACAATATCGGCTTGAATTCTCCTTTAAATGACCTTCTCACAACTAGCACATTGCATATTGCACATCACAGGTTTATATCTGTTGCTACAAAGCAATTATTAATTATGCTGATCTTATCCCAATTTGGGTTCCTTTTCTCCGGACTGTCTTCGTGCTTCTGAGCTAGCACTCTACCCATCCGATTTCCCAAACCCACTTGATCCATCTATGTGAGCCACTGAGAGGAATTCTGCACTGGTGTGCGATTTCCCGATGGACCCACGCACACAAACTCACGAATTCCCTCGCTCTTCTCTCTTAGTTGGAGGCTCGTTTTGTGTACATGAACAGGAGAGTTTCCCGATCTATGGTAGTGTGCTGGTTTTACTGGCATTCACAAATACCACCGCAGTGTTCGCCGCTCTCTTGCTCTCCCCGTCCAGCTATCGGTGTGCTTATACTTTAGCTTGTGTTGCTGTTTCCACACCGATCACTAACACCAGTGAATAAATAAATGCTCTCTGGTTCTCTGTTTATGTTTGGAGCCAGTTGAACAGGAGAAGTATCAGTTGAGAAGTGATCGGCTGTTAAAGCCCTTCTTTGGAGGACAAACCCGGTAGGGATTCACATTTCTAGGCCAATTTAAACAGATTTAAAGCGAAGCCAAAAAGCAGAACTGTACTTTTCTATGAAGTACATACTTCTAGAAGAATTTCGTCACAAAGTCCATAGTGGGCCGAGGCCTTAATCAGGTTTTGTATAGGCACGCAAACAGTCCCAAACAAATGTGGAGACCTTGACGTGGTCTCCTCCTCCCCCCTTCCAAACCCCTTTCTTCAATCAACATAAACTACTGCTCAGAATTTGTATTAGTCTATACTG